CATCACTACACTATTACAATTATAAGACATTACAAAAATACAAAATATGGATACACAAGATAAGTTAGATTCCAATGAGTTGAATCAAATCAAATTGAAACATGCAAACAGTTTTTCTGAAGTCAGTCTCGCACTATGGAGCGGTGGCTGATTAATACGGCGCTCTTATGTGCCGAACCTATTGCATAAATTACTGTGATATATTTTTCATATAACGGCACTCGTGATTGCCTCAAAATTGAGTGGCGTGACCAGTCATGCATGAGACTCGAAGCCGTTTCGGCGCTCCCTTTATGCCTTCGGTTTATGAGAAACGGGACGGTATGAGCGAGTTTCTTTAGCGCAAATTCATTTTTTTGCTGTTTCTCCGTGATGCTAGCCCAGCCTATGAGATTCCCCTTCGAAGGTCGAATTACAAAAACTGAACCTTGCGATTGAATTTGCTTGCTTAAATATTGCTATAACAGCGAGATATTAGTCGCAGCTTTTCTATTTGGACAGAGTTCTTCAATTCAGAACGCATATTTTCCCATCGAAAATTGTTTACCACGACCTTCCCGAATTAAGTTCGACGCAATTACGCCGTCTGAATCAGCCGTCGCTCCAAAGTCGCTCCAAAGTCGAACTTTGTTGAGTTTGGTTCGGCTGATGAGTGGAGCGGCGTTTGGACCGGGCCTACCAATTCATTCTTGAAATCAAATTTTAGAAGTCCGATTTTCAATCGGAGACTTAACTTCTTTGCCTTACAAGAGCAAATTTTACCGAAATGACACAATTTCAGACCGATAAATGAAGAAGAAATTGTTCCACTTCGTTGCTGATTAAAGATGGGTCAAGCGTAAGCTTTGGATGACAATTTCTGCAAGGAGTTTGTGCTTAGTTGCGGCTGTACTTCCTGATAGTTCAATATAGTTACTACCCTTTTGGTTTACAGTCCTTTTTGCCACCCTTCTTTCCTTAAAGGCTATCTAGCACAGAGTTAAGTACGAAAACGTTTTATAGCAGATTTGAATATTTTCCAGACATGTAAATAAAACCTGACCTCTCTGTTTATGTATGTGTATTTCTAGGAGGATTTCCGTGTCCATGTTGAATCAGTCTTCTCCAAACATAACTCAGATGCTGGTAACCATTTCACCGATGAGGAGATCATTAACGACATGATCGAGCAGCTCACTGCCATCTTACAGTAGAAAAACGCGAACATTTTTTTTTTTTTTTGGTTATGCAACTCCGCCTGGATTGACCTGCTTGGCAGTGAGATCTTGCTGGTCCCAAGCCCAGGTAAAGGAGGAGGGGAAGATAATCTCTAAACCATACTCTCTCTAAAAAAACAGAAAGATAAACTGCGATTGAACCTCAGTAATAAATCGGCATAACTTAGGCAAGAAATTTTGATTTTGAAGGTTTTTTTTTTTAAGGGTGCATTCCCAGATCTCAGTTTGATTTGTCAGAGGATCGAATTTGCTCTTGCTTTTTTCTTCTCCAAATAACTGAAAGAAAGAAAAACAACATTTTTGGAAACTCCCGTTCGATCTGGAGGACTTGTCAGGGAGATTGCCCCTGGTAGTCAACTTTTTAGGCTCGCTAAATAGATTTATTTATTGCTGGGGTTTAGTTGTAGTTGAATCTATTAAAAAAAAAAAAAAAGGAAAACAAAACGAACAAACAAAAAAAATGAAAAACAAGACAAAAAACAAAGAAAGAAAAAAAAATGAAAAAAAAAAGAGAAAAATTTTGAAAAATATTACCAAAAAGCATTGAAAGATAAACCGAACCTAACCACAACGAAGCAATATCGAACTCAAACAAAGAATCCAAGAATCAAAGAAACCAAACGAAGTGTTATGACTGATGGCGGGACAGTTCCGAAGAATATAAAAACTTAAGGCAGTTCAGAAATGTGTCAAGAAGTAAGAAATAAACTTGTTCATGTACTAAACAAGGTGTGATACTTTTTCTTATTAACTAGGATAAACCACATTATTAGTGGGGGTATAACAAATCTCCTGTTGAGAGGGACCCCCCCCAAAAAAAAGCAACAAACAATATAACAAAACAAAGACGAAAACAAAGACAATAATAACAGAGAAGACAGCAAGATATTGCGGATGCCTGGGTTCATTATCGCTAAGAAACACGACCTACAATCAAATGGAAATGATCGATTCATTTCTGTTCTTGTTCCATCTTGTTCGGTTGTTTTAAGAGTTTTCACCGAAGGACTCTTTTTGAGGTGAAACTTTTCATCTCCAAACAATCATAATTTTAAAACTATCAGACTCCTTATGAGACTCCCAACTGAAGTGATCACTGTAACACTGGTTCAGAATGGTCAAAGTGTTGGTCGTTAAATCTGCGCTTTGTCTTTTCCCTCCCAGTTCTAGCGATGTATTTTAAATCATTTATCTTCGTTAAAGCATTGACGATAAATGCAAAGATTTAGGCAAGACAAAACAACAGATGAAACCGCATTTTGTGTCGTCTTCATGGTATACTGCAAGAGCAACGAATTCATTATTTCTTCTATGTTACAGCCTCCAGCTTTAAACCTGTGCTAACTCTTGCGTAGCCTGCTTAACAGACGGTGTAACTGACAAGCGATCATCGTTTCTCAACTAGCGCGTCTTCTCCCTCGCGTGCACCGTTCTAACTCGCGCCTCAAGTTTCTCTTCTTCTTGTGTGTCCTCGCGCGCACTGTTCTAACGCGGGTCTCATGTTGCTCCGCTCCTCGAGTGTCTCTCTCGTGCGCGTGCCGTTCGATTCTTACTCGTGTCACATTTTTCTCTTCTCCTCGTGCGTCTGCTCCTTACGCGTGCTGTTCTAACTCGAGCCTAATGTTTTGCTCTCTTTGTGTCCTCTCGAACACGCCAATCTAACTCGTGTCCCATTTTTCTCTTTCTTCGTGGTTCTCCTCCTCGCGCGCACCCGTTCTTAGTCGCGCCTCATTTCTCTCTTCTCCTCGTGTGTCTCCTCCTCGCGTGTACCGCTCTAAATCGCGCCACATGATTATTCATTTTTGTCTCCTCCTCGCGTATCTTTCTCTCGCGCCGCCGTTCTAACTCGCGCCCCATTTTTCTGTCCTACTAGCGCACACCGTTCTAATTCACCCCTCTTTGTTTTTCTCTCTTTCTCGCGCGTCTCTCTCGCGTGCACCGTTTTAACTCGCGCCCCATTTTTCTCCAGCCCTTGCTACGCAACCTAACTTGCATAGTTAGCTAATTTTCACATGGACAGCTGTGAATAGGAGTATTTTAAAACGGCCATTGAAAACATATTCCTGATATGTGTCACATGATCAACCATTTGGAATAGTTTCTTGTGTTGCCTGTTGTAGTGTATGATTCTCTTTGGGGCGCGAGTGAAGACGGTGCACGAATCGCGTCGTGCGCACCATCTCCCATGCTTTATCTTAGGGGAAGAAGAAGGGTTGCATACGTTGATAGTCTTTTTAAAGACGCACACTACCCTACTGGGTTTCGTAGATGCTAACATATAAAAGGTCGGTCCTTGTCAGGGCACGGCAGCCGTCATGACATCTGTTGATACCTGTACAGCGACTGACCAACTTCGACAGGCTTATAAGAATGTTCTGCTGCAAATTAATGATGATTTGAAAGAAGCACTGAGAAGACTTCGTCGCTGCTGTACTGGATGTATCTCAAAACAAGATGCTGGAACTATCACAACTTTTTCGTTCTTTAGAGCATGAAGGAAAGATTTCGTGGGAAGATGTGACTTTCTTGAAAGAACTGATGCGTACAATGCAAAGGCTTGACGTTGTAAAGAAGCTGACCCGGTTTGAACTCAAAAGAGATCTGACGATTCTCTTGGATTTCTACCCTAGAAAGGTAAAGTGATCAGATTAGCGTTGTTGCTCAGTGTCCCTGAAAAGATTTGCTGGGTATTTAACAAGACTCGCAGATGTCGATCGAGACAGAGTTGACTTGAGCAGTCTCAACATCACAAAGGAATCGAGTGAGGATATTAGAAAAGCACTGGTTGACTTTGAAGAGGAAATAGATTGTAGAGAACTGCCGCTTTCGTGGAACGAATCAACAATGCTTGTAGTTATTGCCGGGGAACTCACAACTGTTGTGTTCGACTTTCGCCAATCGGTTATATAAATAGCCCTGATTCTCGGAAGAGCGTTTACTAAACGCCTCATCAGTAGAACAATTCCTTCGAATCCTGGTAGCTAGGGAATGGCTCTGGTAACATGGGCAGGATGTGCGCGATTCCGTAGCAAATAAATATGGTTATCCGTGGGTTTGGAGTAGATACCACTCTGGATGAAACCGTCCACCAGATTGAGAGTAAGATCTAGTACGTAAAGTGAATTGGGAGATGAAACTGAAGTAAATTTAATGGTGGGATACAAAGAACTAATAAAATGCGTAAACTCATCGAGTCTAACAGGACCTTGGGTCCAAAGATAAAAAATCTCATCCCTGTACCTCCACCACAGGTTGGGTTTAATTTCCCCTGATTTGGGTCTTTTCTCAATAATTACCATGGCTAGATCAGCGTAACTGCATGCGTTCTTAGGACCCATGGCCGCGCCGTGAATCTGAAAAAAGTTGTCATCTTCAAAAAAATAATTTGTAATTATTTGTAATTAATTTGTACGGCCTCAACTATGCAATCAGTAGATGGAAATTTGACTGTTCTAACCTCTCATGCTTCTATAACAGCATTAATTCCCAAATTGTTGTCAAGGTTGGGAAACATGGCAACAACGTCCCGTGAAACTAAATATATTTTGTAACGTTTCGCTAATTACACTGGAGTATGTTCACTATATATGGTTCGTGTTAACTGTAGAAGTGTTTTAGGCGTAAATCCCTAAGGGGCTAGTAGGCTATTTAAGAATTTGTAAGTTATGCAAGAGCCACTCGAAGGCATCTCTTTCAACTTTGNTCAATAAACGAGATGCCCGCCCCTGATGCTGTGTTTGTGTTTATTAAGATTAGTTACAAAATATTTTATAATCGTTTCAG